CGGTGTGAGTGAAGGGAACAAACATATTGTTATGAGATCTAGTTGAATAACTGTGGATTTCATTGACCGATGTGAAGTATGAAGATAAACATACTCATTTGCAGACAAAAAAAGACATAAATTACTTCAGATTGAGAGCCACTCTTTTATATGCTGTATCTTTGAAACCTCTTGTATGCTTCTTTCACTCCTTCTTGTTCTTCTTGTCTTTATTATCTTTGACTTTCTTGCTGGTTGTATCCTGCGGCTGCTTCCCAAAGACAACTGGCCGAAGCACGCCCTCTAGTGGCTCAAAGGGATCCCTAGAGCCATACAGTATGAAGACTTTGGCTGTTGTCATGGCCAGCATGCTGAATAGCAACAGGAGAGAGATGGGAACTGGGAGGATCACATAGCGCTGGAGAACAATCAAAAGGCTGATAATGATGGACCCCTTCATTGTGCTGATGGAAAACAGAAAAGATAAGAATGTTAACAAGAACAGATGTCCCACCAAGCCCATGCCTACAGCCATGACTTCAATCGGTGATAAAAAAACATTCCATTCGGAAAACAATCTCTTTGGTTTTAACAGTAATTATTGACCTTGACTTTGGACCTATAGGGCCAATATCACCAGACTTCTGGACAAAACCAAGACCAACCGCATACCAAGTTTGAAGGCCCTTTCCTTCTGGAATTATGGCTTGAAAACCAGTTCCTATTGTTTTAACCTGAATGAACTTGACCCATGAGGTCCAAATTGATGGGCATCCAAAGAAAAGACCAGCCTACATAGTTTAAAGATGATATACCATGTCCAATTTGAATTACAACTGGAAAACTCCTTACTTGCATGCATGCACACACCCACAAACAGGGTAGATCAAGACTAAAACAGTTTACTGCATCGGCTTCACTGGTGTGGTATAAAGAAAGAAGTTGGGGATATAACTCGCTGTACAAGCATACATGTACCTTTGGAAAATTTGAAGGGAGATTTCAAAGTTTTTGCCAGACTTGCAAATGACTTACAATGATGGATTAGTAAACTGATTGGAGGACGGTCCGCTGGTGGCACGTAACAATCTTTCAATGTTCCTCATCTGCATACTGCCAGTTCCTGCAGTTGTCAACAGGAAAACAGACCCTGTTACATTATCATTCAATCAAGTCAGATCACCATAACATTCAATCATTCTACCCCAAGGAAAAAATCATTCTTTTTAGAAATTTTCTCACTTCTGTTCCAAGTGTGCTTGAAGATCCTTATTATCAACATTAACCAGAAATACTTAACCAGAAATAGAAAATGTGGGCAGGACTGAGGAAAGTGTCACAAGGAATTAAATGTTTTCACTTTTCTTGAAATAAAATACCAAATTGCTTTCAAAGTCTGGGCTTAAAGATGTTAAACAGATATCAGCTGACTTTTTTAAACTCAAAAGGGGGAATACTCTACCGTGAGTCAGTAAACGCAGGTTAAGGTAAGTGTCTCACATTTTTGAGGTGCAGGTTAAGGTAAGTGTCTCACATGTTTGAGGTGCAGTTATTTACCTTTGACAGTGCCAATGATCAGCATGACTAAGAACCCATTGGGATATACAGCTGCTGCCTGTGTTATTCCTCCAGCAATCTTATTCATCCTGATAATCTCCTTGAAAGGAATCAAGAGCAGCTGGACTGGAAATGAGGAGACTAGCTTGAAGAAAAAATCCCCAGGGCAGTAGAAGATTAGATACCTACAGGTAGCAGGTAAAGAGATAACATTCATTATGGCTAGAAAAAAGGTGAATATTAATGTTCATAATGAGGGAAACAACCCCTGCCAAATTCAGCTTTTTTAAGTACATATATACCAGCCACTATGATTCTCCTACAAGTAAACTTGCAACCTGTATAACTATGCTGAAGTGGAGGGGGGGGCAGTGGCCCCATACTGTTTTGACTAGGAGGTATGCAAGTTTTACTTGTGAAGAAGCAATGTACAGCTGGTTTGTGGGCGCAAGATTACCTAGCGTACAAAGACAGCCAAATTAGCCAATGATGTAAACATAGACCGGCCACCATGTGCATGCACTTGTGTACGTGTGTTGCATGTGATTTAAATGCACCTTGCTGTCTACTGAATTCGGTGCAAATTGATTAATTCCTCTTTGTGATTGATGACTGGGGAGAACAACCTCATCATAAGTGTAATATTCACAATACACACAGATTTTTGTTTATTCTTGAACTTTTTAAGGCAGCGGGTCAAAAACTTGCAGCAGCAACAATAAAAATAACAGCAACAAGGGACACAGACAGCAGATTTCATAGCACAAAAAGGGTATGCCTGTTAACTCAGCCATGAAATACTAGGGCTTTTCTCTGAAGGTACTGCCAGTGCACTGGGGCATGACAGCAATTGTTGCCCTGTGGGACTGTTCAGGTGGAGGCCTGGTGTGTACAAAACAAATAGGATTATATCTTGTACACATCAAGTGCTCAGAGCTCATGGTTTTCACCCACTCAGCTTCCCATACACCACCCCTTCCAATTATCCAATTATAGATGTTAGCTTGTCTCTATACTCTCTAGTGACTGTGAGCATGGTGTCTAAGATGTGTTATGCAGAAGCAGGCAGGCTTACCACACGATAGTTGCCAGTCCAATGTTTATATGGTTGTTGAATGCCGCCAGTATTGGCTGACCCAGGAGGAAATTGGTCAAGATTCCCCCTGCAAAGCTACTAAGCATGCTGCAAAACCAGCATACCAAGGGGTTTGTCTGGGCAAGATGTTTTGTGTCTGACAATGAGAAATAAGCAAAGAAGAAAAACTTCACTACAGTCAATTTGGTAACTGGCTCATTCTGTCCCTAATGATTCTTTCACATAAAATTTGGTGAACAAACTTGCATAAACATTGTCAAAGCTATGCCACATAAAAGATAAGAAACAAAGAAAAAACTTGTGCCAAGTTAAGAATAACCTAAAAAATGAAGCTACAATGTATAGAAAGGACTAAGAACTACTAGTTGTGAAAACAGTCGGAACACCAATCTTAGCAATGTGTTTTTACCATGACTTTAGAGAACAGCCATGACTGAGAGGGTGGCGATGAATTGCTAGTGGAGTAGAGTAGGATACTATAGAGTAAAGTGAATGTACTGGGGAACTATGGATGGAAGGAAGTAATGTCAAACTATCCATGAGACAGGGCTTATAATAGAAACAGGAAGTGAGAAAACTTAACCCTAACCTTCCCCAACCACACAGAATTAAACAGTAGTAAAGTGTTTAATTCTGTGGGGATAGATCTGGTAGGCCCATAACAGCTGGCTTTGCATTGGGTTTGGCATACCTCAGAAAAACAAAGTCCAATAGCCTCTGTGCACAAAGTCCCATATGGGTGTTTAACTTTGTGTGAATGGGGAAGGTTAGGGCTAGCAACCCTTGGGGGGGGTTAGCGTTAAAGGAAAGTCTAAATCATACATCTTGATTTAATTCTCAGAATGATGACAATGAATGAGTTACATCTTGGAACAGTGATCCTGTTCATTTTTAAAACACTGAGAAACTTTTATGAGTAAATGACAGCATAACTTGGGTATGCATTTAGGCTTAGCAAGGTCACATGCTTTGTAGGCATAACCAATGTACACAGTGTGTACAGTACATGTACACCCGCGTGGGTGTATAGGTTAGGTGTGTACTTGTACAAGGAAAAGGAATGAATAATACATCTAAGAACGGTAATTAGGACAAATACCGGAAATAAGAAGTTCTTAGAGTTACACAGGTAATTGTAGAGTGCTAACTGACTAAAAATTAACATACATCAAAAATGAAGTTATTGTTCAGAAAACGCTACGAATCAAGCATAGACCAAGATTTACCTTCTCTCAAGTCTTGTCTTACAGCTTGAATCATGAGGATGTAATGCGCCACCTCAAAGACAGGAAACATGGGAATAGTACTGTAAGCATCTCCATAGGAGACAAGCATTTCATAGTAGGCAGCTGCCATCTTCACAAAGACCACTGAGGAGACACCACTTGGTTTCTCAGAGAGGGCATCCAGGGAAATTCAACAAACTCTGAAATTGGAAAATGTTTGGATACTTTCATACACTGCATGGAATTCAAACTCTGGTTTTTGCACTGTATTACACAGACACTGTATTTTAGAAACTATTTTGGCAAGTCTAAAATTTTGATATATACGATGTCCTATGCATACATGTGGGCCTATTGGAGGTTTTACCAACAAACATGTCAAAGACATTCACATACAGTATTTCAACACTGTTGTTTGTTGAGCATCTAAATGAGGAATACCCACAAGATATTTTGTATTACTAGTCTTTGTGATGAATTCATGCAAATATGGCATTACATAATGGATAAAAAGGGGACCTTTTCATGGACTAACCCATTTATGAAAGGGCAAAAAGGACCACAGACTAGGGTGGTCACAGATGTTTAATACTGACTTCAGACCTGGTGCTTTTGGCCAAAGCCACTGTCATTACGAGACAATTACAGATTTGGGTCAAATAAATCATGAAATAGTGACAGGGAAAGAATTCTGTATACTGACGCAAACTTGGTACCCTGAACACAAACCCTATGTGAGTGGTTGACAAATTCAACTAGGTGTTTTTTTCATTTGATTTATTCACTTTTCCATAATGCATATGCAGATACAAAGTTGGAACAAGACAGAAAAAGAAAACCCAGTCAATGGGAATAGAAGGGATGATGCCAACAAGTTTTGAGCTTACATTCATTGCTATCCCACTGCTGTTCCAAGTGAACTGAACACCTCAACATTTTCACTGCTGAATTGACTTTTAAGAACACAATAGTTTTGCTTTAAGATGGCACCTATACATGAAATTCTTTCCCTCTCTGCTAAAGTTGACTTGTTAGGACATTACTACTACTTTCTAACGGCTAATAAACCACTGCAAGGGAAAATTACTGATGCCCGTAATACATACATGTACATGTAGGAGTTATCCTTCTTGTGTGCTCTTACCGTGACAGGTTATGCTATATTGTTTGGTGTTACTTAGACAATTAAGCATTTAATTGAGGGCTAGCATGGGGAGGCAAATGTTACAGAACAGCTTGCTAACCCAACTCCAAGTTACTACTCCATGAGACTTTGAGCCATGGTTGTTTACATTGGGTTGTAGCGCTATGTGTTTTTGGAATTGAGCTTTTGCAGTTACTGATACAGTAACACAAACTCCGCTTTTCACTCAAATTTTCCTGTGAAAGCAACTGTCACAGGAAAATACCTACAGCTCATGAAAGCCATGCAACAGAGGTTTCAGATCATGAGACCAAGTACGTTTTGAAAACTCTAAGAAAATGGTTGAACTCAACTGTGGAGCATGGCAAGCTTGGCCACTGGCCAGACACATGCGCAATGTGATAAATGTAAATAGCATGATCATCTCTGGGTGGAAACGTAAGATTGCTGAGTAAACATTTTGGTCAATATTTTCAAAACTCCTTGGTCTCATGGTCTGAAACCTCTGTTACACCATTTTCAAGAGCTATTGACATCTCACAGTTGCTCTCACAGGAAAATTTTATTTAAAAAGTGGATGTTGTGTTACCAGATCAGTTACCAAAAAGTTTGGTTGGCGTCCAACCTGGGCTAGTTGAAACCATTGTTATTTACATGGGATCGTAACGCTATGTGTTTTTTGATCGGGTGGTAAATGATCCAGTACTGACATATGCTGAAACCTAGCCCAGGTGGCTTCTTGACCTTAAGGCTTAATGTAGCTCCATGGTTCCAAGTCACACGGACTGACGGAGTAGTAACCTGGTGATTTGGACTTCTTCAAGTACAATGTAGGTCTAGGCCTACATAAAGTACTGCTACTGGTACCTTGCTAGGCGTAACGTTAGGTGGAGGATAGTCTGAGTAACTTGGACCCCACAAATCGCCTTTTTAAACATTTGGACATTGTCGGGTGATCCCCTGACGGAATCCAAAAAGCTCTTAAAATGGTGCAGCAGAGGTTTCAGAACATGAGACCTACAAGTTGGTGCATGGTTATGATGGTGCCGCGGGGGGGAGGCCTGGGTAGGCAATTTAAATGTTAAGGTAAATTTTTTCCCTAACATGTCTACTGTAAAAAAGGGGACCCGGATAGAAAACACCGATCATACAAATTACAATTTCTTGACATGCAACGTAATTGAAGTTCCAAACTCGACGTTTTCACTTACACTTTACTTGCATGCTAGTTTACACGCAAACCGAGGCGTAACCTTCAGACCTTAGTCACGTCAGTCCTTGATACCTTATGTCCGACGCGGTACGCGGTACGTGCATTCTTTAGATTTTCACGAGCGCCCTCTTGCGTGAAGAAAAGGGAATCTACCTTCCCGGGGACTCGAAGGCAGTGATGATAATGAGTCGTACGTGTAATTCTCTTCGATGATATTCGAGAAGGTTTTATCCAGGCTATACTGTTCCTTTTTTTTGCCTTTGACCTGTCATTTTGCGTTGGATATAGCTAGGCTGTTAAAGTTTCTCTTCAGAATGAATTGTATCAGACTGATAAATATATCGAAAAGAAACTACATAGTCTCAAAAGTTGTCATTTGGCATATGATGTAGAAAATGTTTATAAGGAAAGGCTGGCTTAGTGGGAAGGACCCCTGTTTGTCAGTCTCCAGTTGATCTGCCGATGGTCCAGAAAAAATCATGAAGTGTATGCTGTCCAACTCTTACTATGCTGTCATTCGGCATCTGAGTAAAACTCTGGAGAGACTCAGCGGGTGGAGATTTACTGCACGTTGTCCCTTTCTGAACGAAAATGTAAATCCTCTTTCCATTATTTTCCCTGCCAAATATCTGTTTCGTGGATATGAGAGCTCAGTCCCGAATCATCTCAATCTTAAAAGCGTTTTTTCCAACAGTTAATTTCTCCAACCAATCAAGGGCAGATCCAGAATCAATTTTTTGAGGAGATGTGTAAATACGGCCAAGTTTTGTGTGTGTGTGTGGGGGGAACAATATTTTCAAGTAACCTTTTATGGCCTTTTATTATGGGACTTTCCTCACGCCTTTTGATGAAAAGGAAATGATATAGAAAAAACAATTTCCCCTCGTCCCATTATATGTATATAAATCTGTCTCTGTTGAGTGAGGAGATGACCCTGCCCCCCCCCACCACCGGTACCACCATCGGATCTGCCCTCAGGCTGGTCTGCTGTTTCAGCCAGTTAGTTACTGTTTCAGCCAGACAGTCACTGTTTTAGCCAGTCAGTCACTCTTTTTCTGTACCTTATTTTTAAAGGTTCGTGACGGTATATTGAGGCTTTGAAATATTTTTTAAAATCCATTTAAAAAATTCTATAATTTAACGTCTGCAACACTTGCAAGTAAACTTCATGATCAATTTAAGTTTCAATAATTTTACTTTCTTCGGCTGTCTCATCCGTTTATCAAATGTAACGTGAATTCTGTATTTCAAATTCTTCTGACATAAGTTTTGCAAGCGCCTCCGTTGAAAACAAATTCGTTTTGCCTTGACGTATTAAACAAAACAAAGTTTCCCATCCTATCACCTACACACAATCATCTTTTTACTGTCGTAGAGAATGTTGCAATTAAAGAAAGTCTAAGAACCCCAGAAAGTGGCGTGTAACTGGGATACGCTTTTGTAGGGGACACCTGGGGGCTCTCATTTGGTGGAGTGGGGGAACTCAGTGGGTTCAGTCGTAGTTAAAACACTCAGTAATGCGGACATTACCAGATCTTTTTTGGAACCCTTGAATAGGAAAAAGTCGTGAAAAAATTTAGAAATATTTTTTTGCGATCATTACTTCTTAAAAAATAAACAGCTCCTTCGTAAAAGACCTTTGTGAAATATTTACTAGCATGATTAGTGTATAGAAACTGAAAAATATATTGACCTGAAAGGGGTATATCACGACAAAAACCGACGCTCACTTCTGAAACTCTAAAATACATGACGACCACGGCAACTCCAAGGGCGTAGGCTGGTCGCCAGCAGAAGGGAGTTCCACTTAAGGTGTTCATATTTTTATTTTTAAAACCAAACAGCAGTACGTTGTTTTATTAAGGTGGAGGTACGTGAGGTTTTTTTATACACGATTGTTTTATTAAGGTGGAGGTACGTGAGGTTTTTTTTATACACGATGACCGAAAAGTAATATAACAAATACGGTCGACTGCTATTATTACGAAATTCGCGGGACCCAGTGGAAATGTTCGTTGTATCCGAAATTCGTTGTAGCTATTGCGGAACGCAGTGCAATGGCTTTGGTGTATGAATAGGTCTTATATACAGTGAACAAGTACTGTACATGTACATGTACATTTTACATGCACTGTACATACACACGCGAGAACGTGGTTGGTGTATGTTAATGATGTCAAACAGATCTCTTGGTTATGATTAATCAAGTATAGTGTTTAGAATGATAAACTTCAATGTCATGAAAATATGTAATGTAAATGTAAGACATTTAAAAGCATCGATCCCGTGATACGGTAGATTGGTTGCCGCATTTCCACCGTGCCTTCTTTGTCAGTGGTTCGGCGCGGCGGGAACCAGTGCAGAATTGCTTCAAAGGGAGACTTTGAAACGCTTACTGTACTGGCGACAAACATAGCGGCCTTTTTACCAGTTCTGAGCATGCGCGCGTTGTTTTGAACATGCGTGCATAGTTCTGAGCACGCGCAATACCTTGAAAAAGGACTGGTATGTCTGCTGCAACCTGCGTCTCAAAGTCTCCCATTGTTTCACCGCTGCGATATTTAAACGCCAGTGATAAATTATGGAATTCCATATCTGCCGTCGTGCGTCGCCCGTCGTGTGTCGTCCGTCATGCGTCGCCCGTCGTGCGTCGTCCGTCGCCCGTGTTTTTTTGTCACGATTGCGCAGTGGTATTTTTAACTTTGACCATTGATCGTTTCACATGTAGGCCCTACATGTCCTTGTTCGATCGATCCACCATGCCGGACTCTTATTTTAGCAATAGAACTAGAAGATGTACATGTGTTCGTTTTTGCAGTTGCGCCAAACTCCAATTGAAAGAAGAAATAATATCATCGGCTAAGTAACGTGTATATGAAATAACACCATTTTGGTTACATAAATAAATCAACAAAATAGACTTTTGTGAGGGTAGATTGTTTTTCTCGATAACTTAGTTACTCTAGACGTAACTTTACTCGTTAACAGCCAGACTTTAGGTCTATATCCTATGTGATATTTCTGTCTGTCCCTGC